CACGGCACAGGGCTGCCGTGGCATAGCATGCTCCTTCGGCTTGGGGATCCTTCCCTAGTCCGCCCCTCTGCCACCCATGCCTTTTTCCATTCTTCCTCAGCCTCGGGCCCAGCCCCCCGCCAGCTCTTGTGCGCGCGCCGTCTCTGCCGCCCCTGCCGCCGCTATGATGAAGAGCAAGCAGGGGCCGTGCCAGGTGTGCGCCACGGAGGGCTGCCGTGGCCGGATCTTCCCCTCGAGGTTCATGGATGTGGACGAGGACATGCTGGCGTGCAAGCACTGCGGGAACACGTTCGACCCGCCGCAGGAGGCGCTGGGGGCCATCAGGGAGGCCCGCGCCGCCCGTGCTGCCGCCGTCATCCATCCCGTCCCCGCTGGGGCTCTTCCTAGGCCTGTTGCACCAGGACTCGTGAGGCCTGCCGCTCCCAAGGCCTCGGCCAAGCGTGAGCTGCCGCTGTCGGCCAAAGGGTCGGCACCGCCTCCGCCCCCTGACCCCAATCTCTCGGGCCCTCCAGTACCTTTTCCCCCCGCTCTGCCCCGCGGCCAGGAGCTGTCCACCCAGGCCCTGGAACCTCAGGGACTGGCCCCCAAATTGCCGCCCCCCAGTCAAGGCTCCGCGGCAGGGCAAGGGGATGGCAAAGGCCCCCTCCTGGAGGCCGCCTTTGCCCAAGGCGCCGCCGCCGGCTATGCTGCTGGCGGCCAAGGGCAAGGGCCGCGGCGAGGGCCGCGGCAGGGCGAAGCGCCCGCGGCACTCCCAGAGCACGGTTGTGTCGTGGCTGCGCATTCGGGCGGCCCTCTTGAAGGCGGCGAACCGCGCCCTGAAGGGGCGGGGGCGCCACTTCAGGGAGAGGGCCGCCTATGCGTGGAAGGAAGTCCGTTGGGCCCACGGCCGCGTTCAGAGGAGGAAGGAGAGGAGGGCCAAGGGGTTCCCCTCTTCGTCCGACTCTGACGCGGGGTAGGCTGCTGCAGGGATCTGTCAGAGGACAGTCAGCAGCATCGGGTAACAGCGGGATAACAGTTTCGTATAAGAGCAACACCAACGACTTCCTCTCCAAGTTCACATCCCACCCTGTCCTGGGCCTGGGGCCAGCCTAGGCAGGGCTTGGGTTGGAGCTTCGGCGTCGCTTGCTCTCCTCTTTCCCTCTCTCCTCCCTCTGCCTCGGCCTTCCTTCTTCTTCGTAAGCGTCGCCTTAGCCCCCGTTATAAAAGTTGTTGTCGCTCTCTGCTCCTAGAGTG